GGGAGTGCTGCACTGTCAGCGAGAGAGTACTGAGGGAGTGCTGCACTGTCAGTGAGAGGGTACCAAGATATTGCTGAGATAAGGATCACAAAATGATCAAAACGCTTTTGGTCTTAATAATATCTCATGTTTGTGTTTCTTGGATCTGTCCCTCTTCTTCCCCCACCGCAGCATGATTTACCTCACCTTGAGGGACACTTTCTGAGCAGTAGTGCTAAAGCCACAGCTGCCATTGCTGAGACTAATGTCAGGACCACCACAAACCACGCGTCTGGCTTCCAAAATTTATCCAGCAGAGTCACTATTTTGTTCTCTGAATTCCTTGTCTGTGAATAAAAAGGGCAGAGATGATCCAAGATGTTTTTTTACAAAGACAATGGCTTTGGTTGTAAGTGTAATATTTTCGGATTTCTCAGTGGCATTCGATAAGGCTACTTCATGATACCCAGGGTGGTATGTTAGCTTGGATAGAGGATTGAAAGCAGAGTTAGGATAAAAGGAACATTTTCTGGATGGTGATCTGTAACTAATGGGGTACCACAGGGATTCTTGCTCATAATATACATTCGTGAGTTTGATCGTGTAAGTGAATATACAGTCTCCCATGTTTGTCGACGAAATTTGCGTCACAGGTAGACAGGGTAGCTACGAAGGCATTTAGCATGTTTGCCTTCATTGCTGACACCTTTGAATATCATTGAGGTTGTACAGGACGTTGGTGAGGCCTCTTCTGGAGTACTATGCACAGTTCTGGTCACCCTGTTATAGGAAAGATATTATTAAATTGGAGAGGGTTCAGAAAAGATTTCCCAGCATGTTGCCAGGAATGGAGGGTTTAATTTATGAAAATGGGGACATTTTTCACTGGAGTGTAGAAGGTTGAGGGGTGACCTTGTGGAGGCTTATAAAATCATGAGGGGCATGGATAAAATGAATAGCAAGGGTCTTTTCCCTGGGGTAGGGGAGCTCAAAACTAGGGGGCATGTTTTTAAAGTGATAGGAGCAAGTTTTAAAGTGGACATGAGGGGCAACGTTTTTCACACAGAGAGTGGTTTATGTGTGGAATGAACTGCCAGAGGAGGTGGTGGATGCAGGTTTAGTTACAATGTTTAAAAGACGTTTGGATAAGTACATGAAAAGGAAAGTTTTGGAGGGATATGGGCCAAACACAAGCCTATTTTAGTCGGGGAACGTGGTTGGTGTGGACTAGTTGAACCAGAGTTTGTTTCAATGCTGTATAACTCTATGACACAAAAAAAGGTGGGAAGACACAATCAACATGAGAAAGTCTCTCACAAAAATGATAATTTGGTTTACAGTTAATATTCTGGTTTGTGATTGGAATGTTTCACTTTCAAATTTATTGTAGAAGTCTCATTATTCATTTAGTGATCAATATTATGATCGCTAGTTCCCAGTTGATCTTTTACCATGATGTTACTAATTAACCCTATGTCATTGCCTAATATTAGATCTAAGATAGCCCTATACCTAATTGGTTTCACTATTAGGTATCCCTCATTGTATTGCTCCTAGAAACTGTCATCAAAACATTCTACAAGCACATTTTCTGCACCACCTTTGCCAATTTGATTGGTCCAGTCTACATGAAGATTTATATCCCCTGTGATTTTTACATTGTCTTTGTTACAATTTCCAATGATTTCTTGTTTTATTTCTTCTTAAATGCTCTGTCCAACAGTATAAACATTAAAATCAAAGAAAAATCCCAGAAAATGCTGTAAAATTTCTACAGGGCTTTCTGTAGGGAGAAATAGAAAGAACATCTGTGCTCAGTGACCTTTCAGCAAAACTGGGAAAAAGTTCGGAATGTGATAAAGCTTTTCATGGAAATAGAATGCTGACCTTCATAGAGAGAGGATTCCTGCTCTACTCAACATTTCCTGACTGTTGACATTCCTAATCTCTGCCCTTACATAGTCTAGTCCTTGCGTTTATGAGCCAAGACCCTTTTTCACTAACGTGCTTATGCCATGTTTTACTCCTCCCTTGTAGTTCTGTCCGTGTTTCCCAAATATAGTGTACTCTGGAATATGTCATTCACAACCTGTGATGTCTCTGAAATGGTGATTAAATCTAAACCATTTCACTCTATTTGTGCCACTAGTTCAGCTATCTTATTGCTGATGCTTTGTGCTTTCAGGATAAGATCACTACTGAGAATGTGATCCTGGATCTTCTTCCCCGACTTTTTCCCCCAGTGTTTGATTCCCATCTGGGTGAAAGTGTTAATCTGCCATAGGAACTGCATGAGAAAAATCAGAACAAAGTATGTCAAGTTCATTCTTCTGCCCCTCACACCCTCGTCTGGACGCACCTTTCGTTTCTTGGCATTGTTCATTCCAACTCCCACACCTCAGCACAGCCAATCTTTTTGTCATTCAACATCTGTTCGATTTTGGCTGATCACAGAACTTCATTTTTGTTCTACCTCCACCCTCTTTATTTCACCAACTTAACACAGGGGCATAGAAACTCGGAACAGGCCATTCGGCCCTTCAAGCCTGCTCCACCGTTCAATATAACCATGGCTTATCATTTAACTCAGTCGCCATTCCACATACTTTTTGATCCCTTTAGCCATAAGAACCATACCTAACTCCTTCTTGAGAAAAGGAGGCCTTGTTTAGAATATATTTGTGTTTTGGTTTGGAGTCAGACTCCCAGTGGGGGAGAACTTCAGCAATCAAGGACATTCGGCCTTAGAGCTTCGGGTAAATGTCCTCCAAGGGAGTCGCTGAGCAGGGGCTGATAACCAAGTTCGTTACCCATCAGGATGGCTTCAACCTGGACCTTAGGTTCATGTCACACTACAGGTGACCCGACTACACTATACACACACACACACACACACACAGACACACACACACAGAAATCTATGGGGTGAATTTGTATTTGCAGATACTTTCTATTTTGTTCAAAAGGCACACAATTTATAGATAATCAGTCAATGTGGCATTTTATAAATTCATACTTTAGAAACAAAACCAGTCTGACTCCAAACCGAAGCACAAACAGATTCTAAACAAGGCCTCACACCTAACATCGAGAGGTAGTAGGAACTGCCGATGCTGGAGTCTGAGATAACAAGGTGTGGAGCTGGATGAACACAGCAGGCCAGGAAAGGTTTCTGAAGAAAGGTCCAGACCCGAGACATCAGCTTTCCTGCTCCTCTGATGCTGCCTGGCCAGCAATGTTCATCCAGCTCCACGCCTCGTTATCTCACACCGAACATGCATTGTCTGACCTAAAATGTCACCTCTTCTTTACACTGCTAAAACCTTTAGTTCAGTCAAGGCAGTGACTTGAAAGGAATTTGGAGATTTGCAAATACATATCAACCAATTAAAACCTTCTAACTGATATAACAGCATCTTAGGTTTGTCTAATACATCCTCATGAATGGTGTGACCCTTTGATCTTTTACTTATAAATTCTGTGTCTGATGCCACCTCTCTCACTGACACCTGAATGAGGACTGAGGCTCTGAAAGCTTGTGTTTTTTAATAAACCTGTTGGAGTATAACCTGGTGTTGTGTGATTTCTGACCTTGTCCACCCCAGTCCAACACCAGCACCTCCACATCTTGAAAACGTTCAATGTTTTGGCCTCAACTGCTTTCTGTGGCAGAGAATTCCACAGGGTCATCGCTGTCTGGGTAAAGGCATTTCACCTCACCTCAGTCCTAAATGGACTACCCCATATCTTTAAATTGTGACCCTTGCTTCTGGACTCCCCAGTCATTGGGAATGTTCTGTGTTTACTCTGTCAAGTCCTGTTAGAATTGTATAGATTTCTGTGAGATTCCCCCTTCATTCTTCTGAACTCCAGGGAATAAAGTCCCAGACAAACCAGTCTCTCTTCATACATCAGTCCTGCCATCCCAGGAATCAGTCTGGTAAACCTTCATTACACTCCCTCCATTGCTAGAACATCCTTTCTCAGATAAGGAGACCAAAACAGCACATAGTACCTCAGGTGCTGTCTGTCCAAGGTTTTTACAATTGCAGCCAGACATCCCTGGTCCTGTATTCGAATCCTCTCACTGTGAAGGCCAATGTATAATTTCCATGAAAAGCCTCGTGCATTTCTAACTTTTTCCCAGTTCTGCTGAAAGGTCACTGAGCAGAGTTGTTCTTATCTGCTTCTCCCTCCAGAAAGACCTGGAGAGTCTTTTTATTATATATATAGCATTCTCTGCTTTTCTTAAATTTTATATCAAGAGAGCTTTTGGAAGTGTAAGCGTAAAAGTCACTTGTTCCTCGCCAGCTGTTCCGCTGACGCTGCACGAAACTCCCATGTTATATATCACACGATAATCCCTTCTAACAAACACAGTCTCACTGAATGCTGGCAGCTACAGTCTCCCATACTTACAGCTGATGGTGTAGTTGTAGATGGTGTGGTTGTTGTCCAAGAAACTACATGGACAATGACAATCACTGTGGTTGTCAATACAACTTTAGAATCAGCACCATTACTGTCGGTGACCTGAATGAGGAGTTCAAAAGTCGTTGGGTCAGAGATCCCATCCAGATTGTACGAGAAGGTGTTTCTTGAGAACAGGGAACTGCCCTGGCAAATGAAGCGGTTGTTTATATTTCCTGGTGGGATTAAATATAGTGTTAATTGATGGATTAAATGTTAGCACCAGATATGGTTGCGAGCTGCAGATGGGGCAAAGGCAATGTCTTAGCGACAAGTTGAACGTGACTGAACCCCTCCCTGCCCAAAGCACACTGAATTCTGACCCCTTATCAATAGCATTCCCTGACAGGGAGTCAATGGGGAGAGTAGCACAGCAAAGCCTGACACAGATGCCCCTTGCTTCCGCTTATCCCTTGCCAGAGGCCTGAGGTCTGACTCTGGCGCTGCTGACCTCTACCAACACACCCCCGAGACACTAGAGACGTTGGGAACTAAAGTATCATCTCGTGAATCCTTCCAATCCTCTCTAAAGAATCATGTTTCTAAATCTCCTTTCCCTACCTTGTGATACCTCACAGTGAATACTGTATTGAAGTGTAGCCACTGTTGTAGCCAAGGTAAAAGCTAAAACCATTTTGCCATTGGCAGGCTCCCACAAAATAGCAGGTAATCTGTCATGGATATGAACCCGGAGAGGTTGCAGAGGCTGGGGCAGCAGAGATTGAGGTCTCCCTGGGTGCTGTGGAGTCTTAATGGCACATTGTGCGCCCGATTTCCCACCCAGAGGTCAGCCAGATTGACCAGCTTGGCTCCTGGTTGAGTGAGGAGATCTCTGTTGGTAGCTACAGAAGCAGGCGTGGCATGATCCCATATGTTGGGCTAGTAGCCATCCAATCCTTGGAAGGGTGATGCTTGATTGAGTGGAAGAGTGGGAGAAGACTGGAAGATAGCATTCCTCCTCTTGGACCACAAGTAGTGCTGGAAATGCACTTAATAAACTCCCTAAATCCTAGTCTCATCCCCTGTAGATTTAGTGAGTTTCCAGAGGCCTGGGGAATATAGGACCTACAAAGTGGGTGTGATTTGATAATGCTGGCTCCTCAGGAATGTTGGAATTGCCAATCTGCCTCCTGGTACAGGGTAGGGGGAGCAACCCGTCATTCTGTCTCCGTTTCACTCTAAAGTGGGCGATATGGAAATTTTAAAATTGGACCTGACCCAAGACAAACCTTGCTGGGGTTAATGGGTCACACCTTTACCGCATGGAATTGCCCACTTTCCCGACCTCCTCACCCTCTCACACTTCCCAAATCATCCTGAGAGGACCTCAGTTTAGCCCATTCCCTGAAAGCCAGCATCTCCAACACTGCAGCACCCCCTTATTGGAGCGTCAGTCTGGATTTTGTCTTCAAGTCTCTGGAGAGGGACTCTAAACCACATAATCTCCTGGCAGCAAGACAAGTGTGTCACCGACTGGTGATCACCCTCCCCTAAAGGCTTCTAGACCTTAAACAAATCTTCAAATAGCTCCAGCCTGAAGGCGTTACACAGTATATACCAACTGCACTGGGAAATTGGCAGCTTCATGTGCTTGTAAAATTTCAATGCAGGTAAACAGGTCTCACCACCAATAATTCCGTAGTTGAGGAGCTCAGAGTCTTTGTCAGTACAGGACAGCGTAACAATGGGGAGATCGTTTGCTCGGGTGGAGTAGATTGTTTCCTTGTAGAATGGGGGCGAGCATACAGGAGGAAGATCATTTACATTCTGCAAGTAAAGCAAACACCAATCAGTCGTGTTCTGCTGTGTGCTGCACAGACTCACTCGTGCCTGTGTCTCGTTGCCTGGGAAAGCTTCAGCTTTCATTCTTACCACAAAGAGTAGTGGAGCGATCATACAGCAGGGAATAGAATAATGAAGGAAAAGCTGATTATGGATCTACCTGTTGTGAACATGTAGATGTCATTTCAGGGTATATGCAATGAGGTCAATTGTCCCTATATTGACCAGAGTATGGGCAGTGGGCATTGTTTGTGTTATACAGGAGAGGGGGTAAGGAGATCTGGGGTGTCTGTGTGTATGAGGGGCTACTGTAAGCTGCTGTATTTGGGACACAGGTTGGTGGTAAGTGGAGAACATGACAAAGTCAGACACAGTGTGAACACATGAAGAGAGCCAGGCTTGAAGCTTAGGAAAGAAAAGTGAATGTATGTGTAACTTGGTCAAGTCCTTACGATGCAGGAGTACATTGCTGGGGATGTAAGGACGGATTTTCCCTGTAAGCATAAATCAGATGATGAAAGTTTTGGTTATTTTTGAACTGGAAGGGCAAGTACTGGTTACACAAAGTGCGCAATTTAATTTAAGAAGCTGGATTTGATGCAGTTGCGAGACATGCTGGCACCAAGTGTCTTCGGATAAAAAGATAAGTCACTGTCCAGCAACAGTTTGTGATTTGGGTACAATTTGTCACAGAGAGAGGGTGCGCAGTTGACACTCAGAGCTCTAACATCCTGCCAGTGAGCCAGATCACCCTTTCTCTGCGTGGGTTTCCTCTGGGTGCTCTGGTTTCCTCCCATAGTCCAAAGATGTGCAGACTAGGTGGATTGGCCATGCTAAATTGCCCATAGTGTTTAGGGATGTGTAGATTAGGTGGGTTATAGGGGGATGGGTCTGGGTGGGATGCAGTGAGGGTCAGTGTGGACTTGTTGGCCAAAGGGCCTGTTTCCACACTGTAGCGATTCTATGGAATTTATGAAAATCTCTGAGAGCAATAAAAGAAACAGCATTTAAAGTCCTCAAGTGAGGCTTGAACCTGGAGTAGCTAGCTCAGAGGTATGGACACTACTCACTGCACCACAAGACCTACTGAAGCAGTTCAATGAGCTACCCTTTATTCCTCTGTACTCAAGGGCTATATAAGCTTACCTATGGATCCAGGGTTATCTTCATCATCCTTAAGACCATTAGATGTAGGACCTGGTTTAGGCCATTCAGTCCATCGAGTCTGCTCCACCGTTCAATGAGATCCTGGTAGATTTGATAATCCTCAACACCACTTTCCCCATAACTTTTGATTCCCTTACTGTTTAAGAATCTGTCTACCTCAGCCTTGAATATACTAATGACCCGTCCTCTCGTGGCAAAGAATTCCACAGAATCACTACCCTCTGAGAGAAGAAATTCCTCCTCAGCTTTGGCTTAAATGGGTGACCCCTTATTCGGAGATTATGTTCTCTGGTCCTAAACTCTCCCACAATGAGAAACAGCCTCTCTGTGACTACCCTGTCAAGCCCTCTAAGAATCTTGTGTGTTTCAAGAAGGACACACCTTATTATATATTCCAATGAGTACAGGCCCAACCTACTCAACTCTCCTCATATGATAGTCCCACAATACGCAGTATTATCTTTTTTGGACTGCCACCAATGTCAATATATCTCTTCTCAGATATAAGGGGACCAAAACTGTTCACAGTATTCCAGCTGTGACTGGCGTCTGACTAGTGCCCTGTATAGTTTTTGAAAACTTTCTATTTTTTACAGACCATTTCATTTGAAATAAGGGCCAACATTCTGTTTGCCTTCCCTATTATCTGCTGAATTTGTACGCTAACTTTCTGTGATTTATGCATGAAGACTATCAAATTCCTCTGTTCCTTGGCTTTCTGCAGTTTCTCCTCACTTAAATAATATTCAGGCTCTCTATTCCTCCTGCCAAAGTCTATATCACTCTGTAGACTCTGTAACACCCTCACCACTTGACTTCGCATTGATTTTTGTGTCACCTGCAAACTTTGTAATAGCACATTTACTCATCCAAGTCATTAACATATATTGCAAATAATTGTGTCCCCAGTACTGATCCCTGTGATCCTCCACTAATTCTGGGTTGCCATCCTGAAAATGTGCCCCTCATCTCAAGACTCTGTCTTCTATGAGTTGCCAATTCTCCATCCATTCTAATATCCTATCTCCAACACCACGGCTCTTATCATTAAATAACCTAATGTGTGGTACCTTATTAAACCTTCTGAAAATCCAAGTATATTATATCTACTGTTTCCCCTTTATCTAACCTGCTTGTTACCTCCTCAAAGCATTCTAGTAAATTTGGCAGGTATGATTTCCCCTTCATGAAACCATGCTGACTCTGTTTGATCTTATTAAGTATTTATTACTGCTCTGTTACTACATCCTTCAAAACAGACTCTAACATTTTTCTGACAACAGGCATTAAGCTAAATGGACTATAGTTACCTGTTTATTTTTGTCTCTTTCTCTGTTTAAATAAAGTTGTTAGATTACCAGGTTTCCAATCCTTTGGGACTCTTCCAGAAGCTAAGAATTCCTGGAAGATTTTTGCCGGTGCATTCACTATCTCTGTAACTACTTCCTTTAATATCCTAAGATGCAGTCCATCAGATCCAGGGGACTTATTGGCCTTTAGCCCTATTAGTTTCTCTAGCACCTTTTCTCCGGTGATAACTGTTGTGTTTATTTCCTTTACCCTTTGATCATTTTGTAATTTTGAGCTCATTTGCATCCCCTCCTTTGACGTTCTGTTTGGAAAGGTTGGGAAGTGAAGGGAAATCATTGAGAGCCGTTCAGTGGTGGGATTGGCTGACTTGTGGTTGTCTCGTCTTCCAGAACGGCGAATGGGCAAGTTTACCAGGAAAGAAAAGTTCAGGTTTTATTCCCCTCCTTTTTGGCCAACCTTGGAAAAAGCACACTGCCTGGTTGGGCTAGAGAGGGGAGGGTGGAATCTGCTGTGGTTTCACTGTCAGATATGCATAATGCTCCCTGACATACCTGAACATTTATGGTGTACTGGGTGTAGCTGGTTCTTTGTTGGAAGCTATCAAAGGCTGCATTGTGGTTCATGTCCACTGCCTGGATTGTCAGGGTGTAGGTGCCAATCCTTTCGAAATCAAGTGGAACCAGAGTGTTGATTTCGCCTGGGAAAGTAACCATCAGAGACCAAATCAGGAGACAACTGATGTGTGAGAAGCCATGGGTAACTGGACAGGAAAGATCAAACAAAACACCAGGAATATTTGACAATATTCGATTGTGGGACAGCCAGGAAAATGGAGTTAATGCCGTAATCACATTAGCTCCAAACCCCTTGAACCCCAGATCCAACAAAACTGCATCTAGTGATCTTAGTGCTAAGAACTTCAATGAACCACTACCTCCCCCTGCACACCCCCCCCACCACCACCTACCCCCCCACCAAAGACTGTGGCTCCACTGTTAAGTACCTTTGCTCACATTTGAAGGTGCACCCTTTTATTCTGAATCCTCCCACTGATGAGCATAGCTTCTCTACGTTTAGTCTCTCAAATCCATTCCACATTGTAACGTTTTGAGTTCCATGTGACGAAGAGGAGAATAAGAGGAGAAGTGAGTATTGTTCTATTCAAAATGTTAACTCTGTTTCTCTCTCGGTAGCTGCCGTAGGACCTGCTGAGTGTTTGCAACACTTTCCTGCTTTTATCTCAGATTTCTCAGACAGACCTGGGTGTATTCCAAATACAGGAATGGCATGGGTACCTGGGATGTTGGCCTTAGTTGTAGGACTATTTGACTGCAAAGGAGGGAAGTCTTGCTACATTTTGTACACAATGTCCAGTTGGGTGAGATCACGCAATGTGTGGTTTTGTCTCTATATCTGAGAAAAGATACACCTGTATTGGACCTGATACAGTGAAGGTTCACTCAATTGCTCCCTGGAATGAGGACCTTGTCCTATGAAAAGTGGCTTAGTTAATTGGGTCCATATTCTCTGGAGTTTAAAAGAATGAGAGGCAACCTCATTCTAATGTACAAGATTTTGAAAGGACATGATAATGTGGACACTATGGACTTTTACTGCCCCTAGCTGGAGAACCTAGAACACAGAGAGACAGTCTCAAGGGTCTAATCATGTAGGACTGAAATTAAGATAAATTTCTTCATTCAGAGCGTTGTGGATCTTTGGAATTCTCTACTACACAGTATGGCAGATATTCCAGCGTTGGAAAATATTTAAGCCTCCGGGGAATTAAGGTATAATGGGAAGTGGGCAGAAAGTGGGGTCGAGATCCAGTATCAGCCTCATGTCATTGAATGGCACAGCAAGATCCAAGAGCCACATGGTTTCCTCTTATTTCTATTCCTCACCTTCTCATATAGTTGTGCTGCCAGCTACAGTAAGCTACAACATCATTCCAAATTAAACCGTGCGAATAGATCAAGGGGCCATTGAGTCAACCAAGTGAAAGAATTTTTCGGGACTGATGTCAAGAGACGACTCATCACACAAGGAGGGAGCAACGTGTGGAGTGGACATCAGTCAGCAGAGGAAACAGGAACTTTAGGTTCATTTAAGGAGTGACTGAATTCTGTTTTTTTTTGGGAAGACTGTTGACTTTCCTTGGATAAATGAATCAAATGTCATCATTGGCTCAGCGTCCGGCACATTTGCTTCTGAGTCATGTGATTGTGGCACTCCAGGGGCTATCTTTCTGATGAAAATGTTAAACTGAAGCCTCACCTGTCCTTCCAGGGAAGGCAAGAGAAACAGCAGCCTATCCTCTGGTATTCTGGTCGATATTTATCCCTAAACAATACCACAAAAAACAGACTATCTGCTCGCTTATTACTTGTTTTTGAGAGGTTACTGTATGCAAATTAGTTGCCACATTTCAGCAATAACTATAATTCCAAAGTACCTCATTTACACTTTGCGTGAAACGAGGTTATGAAATATGCAACATGAATGCGTGTCCTTTCCTTCCAAAATGCTCTTAGTTACTTGTGCCCTGTGATTAGGAACAATGCACTCACTCAATATACTACGCAGCGTCTGTTTCTTTTAATCGACTATTCCCTGCACCAGCCGTATACCAACGTAGCCAGCACCTTGAACAGATCCAGTAGCTCTGATCACTCCCACAATATGACAAACACTAACCAGTGTATGGGTGGATGTAGAAAGTTGGCGGAGAATGTCCAACAATGGAGAAACGCAAGTTGTTATAGACCCAGTCAGCATCTGTAGCATTCACTATGCCCACCAGTGTGTTTGCTGGACTGTTCTCTGGAACTGAGAAAGTTCTGATGCCATGAAAGACAGGGGAGAACTCATTGACTTGACTGACAGTGACCAGCACTGAGACAGTTGCTGAAAACAAATCAGAAAAAGAGGTTAGAAAGAAGGTACTCCAAAGTCCTTTACTCAGCATCACCTACAACGTGAAGTACAGGCACTCCACTGGCTATTTTCCTCTCTTGCAGTTAAAAGGAGTATAAAACCAGACAGTAAGAGCTTCTATAGGTATCTACAAAAGGAAGGAAGTAGCTAAAGTAAACAATACAGGCAAAACACTGCAGATGCTGAAAATCTGAAACAAACACAGTGAATGCTGGAGAAACTCAGCAGGTCTGGCAGTTAATATTTCGAGTCCAATATGACTCTTCCTTGGAAGAAGGAGGTAGAGAAGGACATTTAGAAAATCATAACAGAATGAGGCAGACTTAACATGGTTTTGTGAAAGCAGAAAATTTATTATATTTCTTTGAGGATGTAAAAAGCAGGGCTGATAAAGGTGAACCAGTCGTTGTGGTGGCTTGGATTTCTAAAAGTTATTTTATGAGGTTCCACATAGACGTTTACTACACAAGAAAAGAGCTTGAGGTTTTGGACATTTTACATTCACTTGGATAGAAGTTGACTAACTAACAAGACATAGTCATAATAAATGGGATATTTTCAGGTTGAGGAGCTTTGCTGAGTTGATTGGAGGCAATGAAGAGGTTATCTGCTGAGTGCTGAGTACATTGGGCTGTGGAGTTTCACAAAATGAGAGGTGAACTTTTTAAACATAAGATTCCGCAGGAGTTGGCTACACTAAATGATGGGAGGATAGGGAAATACAAAACTAGAGGATACCATTTCAGAAGAACAGGTCACTGATTTGCGACAGAAGTGACGAGAAATTTCTTCTCTCTGAGTCATGAATCTTTGGAATTCTTTTCTCCAGAAAGCAATGGGGGGTTGTGCCATTCAATAAAATGAAGGTGAGATATGCAGTGGGTGCTGGGTAATTGAATGTATTGAAGGTGTGCTATACAATGGGGGCTGGTTATTGAATGTATTTAAAGTGTGGTTTGCAGTGGGGACTGAGTTATTAGAGTCATAGAGTAATAGATTCTATGAAACAGACTCTTCTGTCTAACCTGTCCATGTCGACCAGATATCCTAAATTAATCTAGCCCCATTTGCCAGCATTTGGCCCATATCCCTCTAAACCGTTCCTGTTCATACATCCATCCAGTTGTCTTTTAAATGTTGTAATTGTACCAGCCTCCATCACTTCCTCTGGCAGCTCATTCCATACACACACCACCTTCAGCATGAAAATGCTGCGCCTTAGGTCCCTTTTAAATCTTTCCCCTCTCACCTTAAACCTATGCCCTCGGGTTTTGGACTCTCCTACCCTGGGGAAAAGACCTTGACTATTGACCCTATCCATGCCCCTCATGATTTTATAAACTTCTACAAGGTCACCTCTCAGCCTCTGACATTCCAGGGAAATAACCCTAGCCTCTTCAGCCTCTCCCTATAGCTCAAGCACCCCCACCCTGGCAACATCCTTGTAAATCTTTCTGAACCCTTTCAATTTTCACAACACCTTTCCTATAGCAGGGAGACCAGAATTGAATGCAGTATTCCAAAAGTGGCCTAACCAAGGTCCTGTACAGCTGCAACATGATCTCCCAACTCCTTTACTCAATGCACTGACCCATAAAGACAGTATACCAAGTGCCTTCTTCACCACCCTGTCTACCTGTGACTCCGCTTTTAAGGAACTATGAAGCTGTACCCCGAGGTTTCTTTGTTTGGCAACATTCCCCAAGACCTTACCATTAAGTGTATAAGTCCTGTCCCGATTTGCCTTTCCAAAATGCAGCACCTCACATTTATCTAAATTAAACTCCAAATGCCACTCCTCGGCCCATTGGCCCATCTGACCAAGATCAGATTGTACTTCTCTGCTGTCCACTGTACCACCGATTTTAGTGTCATCTGCAAACTTACTAACCATGCCTTCTACATTTACATCCAAATAATTTACATAAATGACAAAACGAAGGTGCGACACACAGTGGGGGATAGATATTGAATATATTGAAAATGAGAAATTCTTAATTATTATAGGACTGTGGGGAACAGGCAGGATAATGGAAATGAAGCCAAGATCAGCTGGCCATGATGGTATTGATTGGTGCAAAATGGATGTGTGTTCTTTCTGCTCGAATGTACTAAGAAGCAGTATTGATATTGGGCGATTCTGGAGCTGGGTGTAGACAGTGGGGTCTCCAGTAGGGCTATCTCTCTGGTTGAGGCGGTGGGATTAGGGAAGGGCAACTTTAGTGAGGACCATAGTAGTATGTGTAAGATCCAGTCTGAGGTGAGTTACTATGGAGCACTGTGATTCTTACCTGTCCGTGGCGGGGTTCCGGCATCTGTTACAATGACTTCGGCTGTGTACCGGAAACCCAGACCTACCATCTCAGCGGAGTCATAGTCGAGGCTCTCGTTCAGCTACAACGACAGCAAGCGAAGGTGGTCAGTATTGGTACAACAGCAACCCTGGGAGCTCTGCAGTTAATCCTGCCTCATCACCCAAATGCAGGGAATCCACAGCAACGCCCACAAACCAAGTCAATGCAATCTTTTCCTCCCGCGCTCTGTCTTTCTCCCCCATTGCATAATATGTATCTGAGCATCAACCACAACAGGCTCTCCAGCCTGAGGGATCATTGACTACTGGAGGCAGGGGCCTCTGTCGGGTGGATGAAGGCAGTGAAGGTGTCCCCTGTACAGTGAAAAGCTCACTCAGAGCCTACATCCCCCAACCCCATCCTCCCACCAAGGTGAGCGTTAGGGAGCACGGCTACAGTTTCTCAGAGTGTACAGGACTGCTGGTGTTTGTCCTACTGGACAAGGAGAGTCAGGAGATCAATATTCCAGCCAGGGCTTGTTATTGGATGACTGGGGCCCATGTTATTTGCTGGGACCACCTCCCATTTTGAACTATCTCGGCACCTCGCTGAACCCTCCCCTTAGCCCTAGTGGCACAAACTCAGCTTGCACATGCCCAATCCCCACACCCCCAACACCCCGTCACCAACACTGTTTAAATGATTCATGAAAAAATTCTAGGCTAATAGTTCTGCTTGGCTATTGATCAGTCTTTGCTGTGCTGTAGCACTCTGAAATGTTTATTGCCTGCAGAGTGAGAATTGTTTGTTTGTTCCTGTAATCGCCAGTCTACCTGGGTCTTTCTGGCAGAATACAGTTGAGTTGAAACAACAAGGATGATATCAGGGAGCTACCACTTCAATCTACCAAGCCTGAGAATTCGTTACTTCATCATCAGCAGTGCTTTAAAGACTGATATCTTTTCATTTTTCTTTATTTTTTATTGTGCATTAAAATGGAAAAAAATTATTGCTATTTTTTCAACCAAGGACAGTAGAAGAAATTGCTGCATTTTTGAAAACGAGTTACTCGAATTTGTTGCGAGTTTTATTTACAATGCTCCTTTGTTTAAGTAGTTGGGGGGCAGAGAAATAAGATGGCATACTGCCAGGTTGTGTATGTTTGCGGTGTGCGGTTTGCCTAGTAACAGAGTGCTGATTGGCTGGTGCAGTTGTGAGCAGTTGCATGTGCGAGAAGTCATCAGCCTGGTGACGGCTCTCTGATTGGCTTCTGGCCAACGGAATGTGAAAGCCATACGAGGGCAGACAGTCTCCAGGCTGGAAGAAGCAGGCTGTGTCTCTATATATCTGCATTCAAAGGAGGTGAAGCCCAAAGAAAGCCAGCTATTACTGCGCACCACTTGTTATAAGCTGCTTTCTGCGACTTGTTACTCTGAATCTGTACAATTAATATACAAATCTCCAAAGAACCAAGAATCTGAAAACATAGGGATCACAGAACAGGGTGAGCAGAAGAAACATAACATTGATCCTGGGGACTGGTGCTATTGAACTGTGTTTTCCCAATAATTTTTTTCCCTTCTTTCCATAACACCGTTTTTTTTTGTTTGCCTGTGTTGATCTGTATGTGGCTGTAGGGGTTTAAAAAAGTGGGGGGTACAGTTTTAACTCATTACTAAATGTTGATATTGACTTCACCAGCTTCAAAATCCCTCAACTCCCAGCCTTATTCCATGTCCAGCCCTCCCCCTCCTTCTTGCCTCCCTGACCTGAGCTAACCTGTCCATCCTCCGACTCACCTATCCACTCCACCCTTCGCACTGACCAACCACAATAACTCCCTGCCTGCATCCACCTGTCACCATCTCACGTACCCTTCCCCTAGCCCCACGCGAGTCCCTCTAGTTATTTCTGGGCTCCCTTCCCCCTCCCCAGTCCTGATGAAGGGTTTCAGCCTGAAACGTTGACTCTCCTGCTGCTCGGATGCTGTCTGCCCTGCTGTGCTTTTCCAGCTTCCCACCAACAATGGGCTCTCTGGCAAGGAGTGGGTCTCAGGAGTGAACCTGCTTTCTGTCAGGGTCATAACAGGATCAGTGAGCTGGGTCCATCCGTGCAGTAACAGCTCTGGCCCCAACCAGGGAATGGTCAGCAGTGATGATGGCTCTGAAGCTCACTGTAGGATTTCTTCTTCACAAGTCACCCGGAGCCTTTAACTTTCGGATACAGTCACCTTTGTCATTACTATAGCTGCTGTCTGGAAAAGGACATCCCTCACCTTCCATATTAACACAGTGAAGCAGGACAAAGCCTTCATTCTAACGAATAAGGATCATTGACTGGTGTCAAATATGTGACCCCCCATTGATGAGCCCATTACATTAAAACGACACAGGAGTGGAAGCAGACCATTCAGCCCATTAGGTCTGCTCTGCCATTCAATGTGATCATGGCAGATCTGATAATCCTCACCTCCACTTTCCTGCCTTTTTCTCCCATAACCCTCAATTCCCTGATCCACTAAAGCATTCCACTCCCTTAAAGTGGTCAAGGAAGCCTCACCTGTATCTATAATCCTAGCCCATCCCCCACTTTTATCCCCCCAGCCCCACCCCTTTGTTTCAGTCATTGTCTGGTTTCCTGGTTGTGAAAACAGTACGGGACCGATTTAGAGGCCCACACCTACCAAACAGACTCCCGCTGACTGTGGCAAGGCCTAAACAACATAATGGGATACAAAATGAAGCAGAGAGCACGATAGCAGACAAAGACACCTCCCTCCCTGATGCACTCAATGCTTTCTATGCTCGGTTCGAGCAGAACGCCAGCAGCGCTGTGACACCTGCCCAAACAGCCTCAGACAAACCTGTTCCCTCTGTCACTGCTGCAGATGTCAGATCAATCTTCCTGGGAGTCAACCCAAGGAAAGCGATGCGCCTGGACAGTGTCCCTGACTGAGCACTTAGATCCTGTGCAGACCAACTGGTGGAGGGATTCACCGATATCTTCAACCTCTCCCTCCGACAAGCCAAGGTCCCTACCTGCTTCAGGAAGACATCATCATCCCCATAGTCAAGAAAACACGTGCACTGTGCCTTAATGACTACCACCCAATAGCTCTAACTTCAATAATCATGAAGTGCTTTGAGAGGCTGGTCATGGCCCACATCAACTCCAGGCTCCCAAACTGCCTCAATCCCCTACAGTCTGCCTACCAACATAACAGATCCACAGAGAATGCCATATCCTTAGCACTGCACTCATCTCCAGAACATCTGGATAACAAAGACACCTACATTAGACTCCTGCTCATTGACTACAGCTCCGCCTTTAACACTATTATCTCCTCCAGACTGATCTCAAAACTGCATGACCTTGGTCTCAGCTCTGCCCTCTCCAACTGGATCCTTAGCTTTCTGACCCATAGACTGCAATCAGTGAAGATAAGTAACTGCACCTCCTCCACAATAACACTCAGCACTGGAGCCCCCCAGGGATGTATCCTCAGCCCCCTACTGTACTCCCTGTACATCTACGACTGTGTAGCCAAATTCCAAATGAACACCATCTACAAGTTAGCTGATGACATCACCGTAGTGGAACAGATATCTAACAACGCTGAGTCAAAATACAGAAGGGAGAGAGAGAGCTTGGTGAAGTGGTGCAATGAAAACAATCTCTCAACGTCAGCAGAACTAAAGAACTGATCATCGATTTCAGAAAGAAAGGAGGAGAACACGCCCCATCTACATCAACACAACCGAGGTTGAGAGCGTGAACAGCATCAAGTTCATCAGAGTGACAATAACCGATGACCTGTCCTGGACTTCCCATATAAATGGGACAGTCAAGAAGGCATAACAGCAACTCTGCTTTCTCACACAGCTCAGGAAATGTGGCATGTCCATAAGATCCCTCACCAACTTCTACAGATGCACCATTGAAAGCATACTGTCCGGGTGCATAACAGCCTGGTATGGCAACTGCTCTGCCCAGGACCGGAAGAAACTACAGAAGGAGGTGTGCACAGCCCAGACCATAGCAGAAGCCAACCTTTCATCCGTGGACTCTATTTACATGGCTCGCTGCCGCAGAAAGGCGGCCAACATTATCAAAGACCCATCATACCCTGGTAATGATCTCCTACAACCTCTTCCATCAGGCAGAAGGTACAGAAGCCTGAACACACACACAAGCAGATTCAGGAACAGCTTCTTTCCGGCTGTTATCAGACTGATGAATGGACTCTCTAGCCTCATAGAATCCCTATAGTGTGGAAACAGGCCCTTCAGTCCAACAAATCCACACCGACCCACACAGCATCCCACCCAGACCCATCCCCGTAATCTACACATCCCTGAACATTACAGGCAATTTAGCATGGCCAATCCACCTAGCCTGCACATCTTTGGACTGTGGGAGGAAACCAGAGCACCCAGAGGAAACCCACGCAGACATGGGGAGAATGTGCAAACTCCACACAGACACTCACCCAAGGGCAGGATCGAACCCAGGTCCCTGGCGCTGTGAGGCAGCAGTGCTAACCACTGAGCCACCGTACCACCCCTAACGCTGATCTTACTAACATTGATCTTACCTAGCGCACGCCCTGTGCAATGTAACCTGTACGCCTCTGTCTAAGTCTTTTTTGATTTGTACAGACTTGCTTACTAGAACCTGCCTGCACTGCTCGCAAACAAAGCTTTTCACTGTATTTCGGTACACGTGACTATAAATCAATCAATCAATCTTACCCTCACACTATTAGCATGGTACATGAATTTGAAATGTGAATTCTCGTTGGTTACAAGTGAATACGAAAGGTCAGTCTTGGAGTAATCTGGATCTCTGCAGGTCAGGTGAAAGAGAATGCTTTCTTTGGGAGTGGTTTCTGGAATCTCAGTCCTGGGGAGAGACAGGGAGAGCATTTATGGATTTATCTCCATTGACATGATATAGGATACATCTGACTTTCTAATGCTAACTCTGAGACAAATTTTTGACTTTTTCAATCCAGGCTTCCAGTCACTCTGCTGTTTCTTTGAGTTATTTTCTCTTCTGCCTTTGTACAAATCAAGCCAGTGATAATGTTTTGCCCCATTCACTCTTGTTTTTCTCTGCTGGACCTTAAATCTTCAACTTGGTGAAATCTGCACACCTTTAGCAATATCAGAGCTGTGTCGTAAACTACTGTGAGCAGCAAAGTGGACAACATCAAGTAAATGCTGGTAGATATGGAGTGGTTAAAGATCATAAAACTGGCAATCAATCTCCTTCCAAAAGAGCATGTGTTTAAAGAAGCCTTCACTCCACATGAAGGATTCCCTAAATCGCTCCCACAGAAATGCTCTGACTTTATCCAACCCTGCCTTCACATCCTGGGATTCCTCTCTAGTGCAAACGGGTCTTTTTTTTAAAACGTTGGCTCATTTGTAAATTCTGTTGCAATCAAAAATTCATTTCTGAATTTTAATCAACTGTGGAATTAGTCAGTACCACTAATTTATCTCCGTAACTCAAAGATACATATTTTAGAAGGGAATGGATGAACAAAAGGCTTGCTCAGGATAGCCCACACCACCTTCCAACCAATGAATGACTCTTTAAATGCAACACTTTTGCCTCAATGTAGGAAATTTGTGTACAGCAAGCTCCCACAAACAGCATTGAGTAAATGATCTTGGTTGTGGAATTAGTATTAATGAGGAGTCTGAGCCTGGTGCCTGTGCTCCCCTGTGAAACAGTGCAGTGGCATCATTTCCATCATTCACTGCTGCTCTGGAGTGTCTCTCCGAACTACTCAGGTCTCCACAGTGACACTGAACCTGACAGCCTACAGGAGTAACAGTGCTACTGACTGAGCCAGGGCCGCTGGCAGGTTCACTCGCAGCTAAATAGCTTCCACCCAGGTTGGAGGTTACACTGGTAGTTTTGTTTCATAGTGTTTAAAAAGAATCAATATTCTTCTGTAGGTTCGACTGAGCACAGCCATTGTACCAGCTGTAGACTGGCCAACTCCAGAAAGTGAACATATCGCCATCAGCAAAAAAAGTCTGAATGAGCACTCCACAGCCGAGCAGCCCAAGGACTGAGGGTCCACGGGCTGAGGGTCTGGGGGCGAGGGGGTGCAGGGACTACGGGTGTGGGGGCTGAGGGCCCGGGGACTGAGGGTCTGGGTCTGGGCGGTCTGGGGTCTGGTGGCTGGGGGTCGGGTGGTCCAGGGGGTGGGGGTCCGCGGATGGAACTCCATGGTCTGGTGGGCCGGGGGTTGAGTTTACCACCTTATTGTTCTGCAAATGGTTGACTTTGTAATAACTCACTGAATAGAAACCGCGGAAGGAATGATATTCCTCCTGACACTTACACAAAGATGGGAGGTGTGCACTGTGGGTCATGATCATTCACATCTCTCACATAGACTGTGACATTAACCACTGAACTGTAAAGGTAGCTGTCATCAAAGGCGATTATCACCAGCAGATTGATGGCAAGCCCTGGGTTCTGATCCAAGTCGAGATTGGATGAGGTTCTGATGATTCCACTTTCTGTAATTATAATCGAAACAGAAGTTTCTGAATTGAATGGCACACCATCGTTCTTGCTATAGCACCCACAGATACCAAAAAAGGGATGAAAAGTATTACAGGCAGAACTCTCCCACGTCTGGAGCGATGAGGGCAGTGCTGGGAAATTCGGGAGAATTGCAAGAGGTCTTTTTTGGTGCTGGGAACATTGAGTTGTTTTCCAGCTCAGCTACACCCATCAAGGTGACCTTCTCACTGGTGGGTGGCAACAGGCCAATGGGGACAATGGCTCATTATTCCTGAACCTTACCCCATGACGGTGAACATTCCCGTTGGATAGAAGCTCGATCCCGAGAATTCCCATCAGGGAAGTGCCAGCGGTTATCTGGCCACTCCAGCTCTCTGCTTGCTCCTCCGGACCTCCATCTTGGACACACGTCACCAATATCCCAGGGTACCTTCAATGGGCAATGGCCACACATGCCTCATGTTCACAGACACTGGCATATGCCATCTCCTTGTACCATAACAAGACATCTCCACCCGACATTACACCTCTGCATTACTCTGTACAGTGTGATTTCAAATATACTACCAGTGCCAGGGCTGTTCCTGATACATCCAGTGATATCCCACAGTGACAAGGACTGTTCCTCTACCACCTTCAGGGTGGATGTGCAGCATTTCCTTGAAATGAAATGTTCATTCAACAGTTAGAAGTTGGCTAAAGGAGAGGAAACAGAGGGTATGTATAAGTGGGCATTGCTCACACTGGAGACAAGTTGATATTGGTGTTCCCTAGTGATTGTATTGGGACCCTTGCTTTTTCTGATTTATATATACGATTTGGAGATGGGTATTGAGGACAACATCTCTCAAGTCGTAGATGATGCTAAGTCAGGGAGAATAGTGAGTTGTGGGGTTGATGCTGAGAGACTTCAGAGGGACATTGACAAGCTGGTCAAATGGGCAGACGTAGTAGGAACTGCAGATGCTGGAGAATCTGAGATAACAAGGTGTAAAGCTGGATGAACACAGTAGGCCAAGCAGCATCAGAGGAGCAGGAA